GGTTTGAAAACTGCCTGTTTTTACCATAATTTCGCTCAATCTTACTTGTTTATTGTTGTCAAAACATGCTTGAATTTTCTCACATATGTATGACAATTTGGCTTAAACTTGAGCAAAGTTATTAATGGTTGGAACCATGGTTTTCATTGCAATGATTTATGATAGTATTAAAACATTATTCTTTTGCCAAACTTACAATGTAATATGCTTAGGGAGTTGTCTTGGCCGAGTTGTCTTGGCCAAATTATCTTGATACCTTGAGTTTGTTTCCATTGCAAGCTAAGCTTAGAACATTATTCTTGATTGTGTATGTATAAATTGTGCAAAGTGGTTATCTTGAATTTATTAAGGATTTGTGTTTGTAATACTTTAGAGGAAAAATACACCTATATAAAGCTAAGGCTTTGTTGGTTCAATTCAATGAATTCATTTGTACAATATTATGTGACTCAATCTGTAATAAGAAAACAAAGTTGTCAGAATAGTCCCCTGTTATTATTATCATGAAGAATAAAAGCATTTTGTTTTGTTCGTATTTGCTTAATTTTGTTTATGTTTGCTTGGTATCCTACTCTTTTCATACTTGTTTTTTTTTGGGTGGGGGTGTGGGTTTGGCAATGTTCCCCTAAGGTCCTTCTTTCTCTCTCTTATTCATTGGTCAATGTATGTTGTTCTTGTGTGTTCTGCTGTTGTTTTTCGATCTATTGCTACTGTTGTTTAGTTACTGTTATTATTGTTGCTCTGTTCTGTTGTTGTTGTTGTTATTTCCCTCTTCTTCAACTGTGCATTTGGCATTAGTAGTAGCCCTAATCAACTGAGCATTTGGCTTACGAGAACAAAAAAATATTTTAGCAGCAATAGATTTGGTGAGAACTGCTTTTGCATCTGCAACTGAGAGGGACATTTACACTGTAAGTTTTTACTTGTCAATTTTATATTATTTTCTTCTTAAAATTCTGAAGTGCCTTGTGTTTCGTTCTTGTGGGAGATGACTCTCAAAATGCTTTAAGACTGTTTTGCTTGAATAAGATCATGTGATTGATGTAAAATGTGAGTATATATGGATATTGTAGTACACCTAGTTTTTTTTATTTTTTTTTTATTTTTTTTATGCAAACAGGAAAAAGCATAAATTAATTAGTGTTTGCAAGCTCTTTTAGGTACAACTCTTCAATAAGTCCTGAAGGAGTCACAATACAAGAAGTAGGTTCATTTACATTGATAGTAGAATTGTTCCTACATGATTTTGCCATTGCATCCGCCACTACATTGGTGTTTCTGCTCCCATATTCATTTTTCAGCCTCATGTTTCTCCTAAGCAGCTCCCTGCATGTTCTTATCAAACCAGAAAGCTCACTATCATAGTGTACATCATATGTGATTAGGTGAATTGCCACTTTACAATCAGAGGAGATAGTGACATTAGAGCAATTATTATCCATAATTAAACTTAGTCCCTCCCAAAGAGCCCATAGTTCAGCAGACATTGCAGAATTTGCCCATCTCTTGCATTGACCACCCATTATCCATTCCCCTCTTGAATTCCTAACCACCATAGCAATCCCAGCAGGAGAGATCCTATCTTTGAAAGAAGCATCAACATTCATTTTATACCAATTTCATCAGGTGGATCCCACATTTGGTTTGGGTTCCAAGTAAGTTGGATATTGGTTGTGCTGCCTTAAACTCCATAGCTAGCCTCTTCGCTTCATTAGCTATTACTCTAGTAGTACACCTAGTTAGGGTTTATAATTCACTAATTTGGATTTGCTATAGTTAGGATCTAAGTTCACCAGTTAGTATTATGCTACGAATTGTCGACTTTAAATGAAATCGATCTCATTATGCTTTTTGTTGCGTTTATGATTATTCCTTTTCCCTTTCTCTTGATATTGCTGCTTATACTAAACTTTTCATTACTTGAAATTATCTTTATAGGAGTAGCATCATGTCTAAACCTAAATATTTGAAAGAATCCTTACTTGTCTTCCACTGTGGAGAATAAATTATGAAATTTATAAGGATTCTTTAACTTGTATATACAAAAGGGGAAGGATTCTTTATGAATTATATCATAAGTAAACAATTTATGAAATGTAAATGCTTCACTACTCATGACTTAAGACAGAACATGAGTAGTGAAGCATTTACATTTCAAAAAATCTAATGGTAAGTTTCTTACTATAATCTTTCAAACAAATTTCAACTTCAAATCATGTGTGTTTTTTCATTTGAAATTCTATTTTATTATAGGAAATGAAATACTTTTACAGTTTTACATTCATTTTTACTTGCATTTGCTTTGTTTTACTTGAAGCATTCATGTTGTCTGACTTCATGCTTCATAGATTAGTTTTACCATCAAATGAATTATATTGTATAATCAGATTTGCAGTTTGATTTTTGTCTTTTATTATACTTTTATTTGGTTGATAATTGATGTGAATATATGTAACAATGTATGTTGTTGCAAAAAACCTTCTAAAAGTTGGGCCATTGTTGAAAGGTGATTTCCCAACTGAACCATGGGATGACAAAGGTCGGAGTATGATCAGCAAAATTATCATCACTTATGGAAAAAAACGACATAACATCTTTGCAATTTGAGTACGTTGAGTATGGCAAATCAGTGTTATCGGACTTGTACGGTGAACGTACCGGGAGCAACTTTAAAATGTTTTTTTTTCTTCCCTTCATATCGTTTAAATTTATTTTTCGATTTCTCACATACATACTAATGTATTTTGTTTTATTTTGGCGATAAAATGCAGATGACATTAGTCTTGGGTGAGTACATCACGGGTTCGTCGGGGGCCTATGAAAGTGGTGCTGGTCATGGAATACATAATCAAGTGATATCGATAACAATCCATACTAGTAACAAGAAATACGGGCGATTTGGTGGTGGTTATAGTGTGAAGGGTCCCACACATGAATTTTCATATCAATTTGGACCAAAAGATCAATGTTGGTTTGTTGATATCTGATTATGTTCTATTGTTCAGTGGCTTGGTATGGGAAATTAGGAGCTTCAGGACTACTTCAGTGGGCTATGTGGAGGCTAAGCGGCTTCACATGCTCTCCCAAGGGCAGGGGACAGGAAGGCCTACTTGGGAAAGTAACAAAAAGGCAATGTTTTACCCTGATGAGTTCTAACTCGTTTGTGGGCTATGTGGAGGCTAAGCGGCTTCACATGCACTTCCAAGGGCAGGGGACAGGAAGGCCTACTTGGGAAAGCAAAAAATTAAAAGGCAATGTTTTACCCTGATGAGTTCTTGGCTTATTGGGACAGAAAGGCCCGTTTGGTAAAGCAACAGAAAAGCACTGCTTGGGACAGGAAGGCTTGCTTTGTAAACCAACAAAAAGGTACTACTTCACAAGTACTTCCTATGGCTTCTTGGATCGGAAGGATGACCTTGATGAGTTCTAGAAGCACGGTCTAGGTTTGCTTTCTAATCAAGTCATTGGTTATGATCTCAAGACGGCCATGTTGTGCCTCCCATACTCCCACACATGAGTTCGTTGTCCCGAGATCGATTCCTATTGCTGGCCATAGTTCATGTTGTTTTTGTTTTTCACTCATCTTCTTATAAAATATAAATGTAGGTTTGCTAATATCTGATTATGTTCTATTATTCAGTGGATTTCTATGGGAAACCAGGAGCTTCTGGACTACTTTAGGGGATATGCTGTAGTAAGGGCTAAACACTCTTATGGCCCCAAGGGGCATCGTGGATTCAATGTCTTGATATTTAAGATCTCGGTTGTGGGCTATGTGGAGGCTAAGCGGCTTTACATGCACTTCCAAGGGCAGGGGACAGGAAGGCCTGCTTGGGAAAGCAACAAAAAGGCAATGTTTTACCCTAACGAGTTCTTGGCTTCTTGGGACATAAAGGCCTTATAGGACTATAAATATAAATGTTGGTTTGTTGATATCTGATTATGTTCTATTGTTCAGTGGCTTGGTATGGGAAATCAGGAGCTTCTGGACTACTTCAGTGGGCTATGTGGAGGCTAAGCGGCTTCACATGCACTCCTAAGGACATGGGACATGATACTACCCCTTTAAAGTCAACGCCACCATTTAAAATCTAAAATCAATTCAAAACCTCAGATCTTCCATTAATGGCAACCTCACAACATAAAACAAAACATCTTGTGATTCAACATAAAACTATTACTCGTACATTACAATAATATGCATTTTTGAATTAAATCATCAAAATTGAACTAAAGCACTATTTATGATTGAACATATGACAAACCTGGAAGTTTCTGGAGAGGAAAGCATAAATGAGTGTTGGAGAGTAAACAGTGAGAAGATGAGATTGGAAGCGGTGGAGTTGAGAGAGAGCCACGTGTCGTACATAGCTTCATTCTTCTCACTCCTTAACTTCTTCCTCCTCCTTCAAATCACTAGCTAAGCTGAGAAAGTTATAGAAAATTAGGTGCGAAATTGAAGAAATTAGGGTTTTTGTACGTTGAATTTCAAATCAATTTTCTTTTGAAATGAAATGTTGGACTGTTAGGCCACGAGATGTGTGATTTATACACAAGATGATAAAAGGGGGGAATGTAATGGGCTAGGTTAGTTGGTTTAGATGGGCCCAAAAATTAGGCCACTGTTCCAACCCCTTCCTCTCACCTACATTATTCTAACAAGGTTGGATAAAGGCACACCCTTCCCCACTAACAAGATTGTTAAAGGCACACTCCACACACCACTCAAAAGAGTGTGCTTTTAACACCAGCCCATTCTAACTCTACTTACACTTGAAAAAACGGATAAAACTTCATCGTGGATTTAGTGTCTTGATATTTAAGAGATCGGTTGTGGGCTATGTGGAGGCTGACCCAAATTTAACCTGCCAATTTTCGGGTTAAATGGGTTTGGTTCAAAATGGGTTTCGAGTTGAAAAATTGTTGTCAAAACCAAAAAAACGGGTCGGGTTTGGGTTGGGTCAACGGGTTAGGTCAAATTTTAACAGGTCTAATTACAACACGAAGCAAAGCGCATTGCGGGGTAAGCAGGTCAGGGGTTCGAAACCCTTTGTAGCTGCTGCATTTTATGAATGATTAATAAGTAAAGTTTTTTTAAAAAAGCCATCAACAATTTCCCTCTCCTCACCTCATTGCTCGACATCCTCACTTCTCAGCTCATTCTTCTCTTCCCCATTCTTCTCTCAATTTTGACAAAAATTCAATCCAAATCACCCCAAATCTTCACATACTTACGTTTGGAGCACTCCTCTTTGATTGTTTGGCAATTCTAAGGTAAGTCATTAGTTTAAATTGCATTTTGATTGGAATATTCTAGGGTTCAAATTTTAAAATCAAATTGGGGTTTTGCTTGTAGTTTGTTTTTGCTCAATATTTTAGCGTGATTATGCTCTATGATGCTTGTGGATAGTTTACATGTAAAATTTAAGGGTTAAGGGGTGTGAGCAAGCATTCATCTGAAATTTTGGAGGAATTGCAATTGCTTGATTTTTGGTGTTTGTAATGAGTTTGCTACTTTGCTACCATCTGATCCTTAGGTTTTGGATGTTGCTTTTACTCATTCATTTTCTCATTTCTTACTCATTAATTTAATAATTTGGTGTTAATTTTTGAATTAAAGATTGAATTTTTGTGATTAATCATCTCAGGGTAAAAAGGGAATTTGACAAGCTTGTATTAATGTAGATTCACTTAGGTTAGGAGTTAGCAATAGAAATATTGGGAAATTTAGAAAAAAGAAAGCATTAGTACGCTAATTGATTAAGAATTGTACTTCTGCAATAGCATTTGCATAGAATTCATGTATTGTACAAAATTTTGATTTTTGAGTAATCACTTTGTTTTTGTGCCAATCCCATTAATGTGTCTCTTTTGAAAATGTGTCTCTTCTTCTGTTTTCTCTTGATATTAATTGCATACTGTTATAACAACCCTTTTCTCTTTCTTTGAATATTTTGAATATTTTTTGATGTGATTTTGAATATTGCTTGATTTTGAATATTTTGAAAATTTGTTTGTTTAGTCCTCTGAGCATACCATGACGAAAAGGTGTAAAGGGTGTTCAAAGATGAATACCATGAGCGGCCTTTTGTTGGAATTGGACCCTGTATGAAAGATGAAATCAATCGGATAATTAATTCTAATGGAGAGGGAAGCTCCCTGTTGCTGTTGTTTAAAGTCTATGATTTGCCTGAGCAACTTGACTTCCCTACGAGCTTATTTGACAAGCTTATGACTTATTACCAGGATGTAGAACAAAATGGGATTTTTTGTTTCAGAGTATGTGATGGTCAGTGCTTGAACATCACCCTTGAAGATGTTCTGTACTTGACCGGTTTGCCCATTAGGGGCAAACCAGTTGTCCTGGAGAAGAGCAAGGATTTTGGTGCGTTCTCTAGGGTATTTGGTGAGCGTGTGGAGATAAAAGCTCTAACTATACCACAACTCAAGGCGATTTGTTGTGATACGGCTAGGACTACTGATCAATGGATGAAGGCAATACTGTTTTTTATTCTTAATTGCATGATCGTTCCCGATTCGAGTGGACCTATTGCGACTTCTTATGTCCAGTTTTTTGAAAAATTGGACGAAGTGGATTCATATGCTTGGGGTTTTACATTTTTATCAGTCCTGTACGAGGGTTTGGGACGATACAAAAAGGGGAAAGCGACTGTAGGTTTTATGTGGCTAGTTTTGATAAGCAAGTTTTTTTTTTTTCCTTTTTTTTTTTCTTTTGCTCATCCTTTTTTTGTTTAGTCTTTAACTAACTTTTTTCCCCCTTAGGTGTTTTTCTTTTGTCGTTTCAACCTCTCGGACATTTTTGGAATTGAGCTTGAGCTTCAAGTGTCGCCCTATACTTTGGCTTCTATGGTGAATAAGTTGTCCAAAAAGATCGGAGTAAACCACTATTCCATGGAGCATCACAACTTAGGGAGGAAGTTGACGCAACTAGGCAGAGTACTTGAATCGACAGATGTGGTATGTTTTTTGTTTCGTTTATAGATTATAAATTATCATTAGGGTCCTTGTTAGGGTCAATATTGATCTTTGTTTATGATTGTATGATGTGTGTGAAATATACAGTGTTTTATTTGGTTGGGTGTGCTTAGTCTTGTTCTGGTTGGTTGAGGACTGTACTGGCCCTCTATTGCCTCTGCTATGCTGTTGTGGTATTGAGCTTCCACGATTGGATCTCTTGAGTGAAGTGAACTTAGTACACGTGTTGGATTTTTTTTTGATCAATAAATCAGGAGATATTATTAAGCTCAAACACCAGCATACAGTTTAGAACCATACAAGCAACAGCTCAACAAAAACAAACTTACAACAAGGTGACAAACCACCTGCTATCTTTTCTAGAAATTTTCCTAGGGAGAATGATATTAATTCTCAATCTAACAACATCTTTAATTTGACTAATAATGACAGTAGTATCACATTGAGCTTCATTCCATAGAAGGTTGTTTCGAGCTTTCCAAATAGCATACACAGTAGCTTGAATAGCTGCACTGATTACACCAAATTGGAATTGAGAAATTCGATACCTTTTATCAAGTTGGTTACACAATTGATAAACCTGCAAGCAGTGGTATTTCACATTAAGCCAATTCATGATACCTTCCCATATTAACTTGGACATAGGGCAAACCTATGCTTTTTGCTTCAAACCAAGATGCAAGAATAAATCCTTCAGCTCACACAGCTTCCTCTCGTACCAGCACGTGTCATTAGGGGGAGTATAGATCCACTTTTCACGTGTTGGCTTTCATTTCACTTTTCTTTTGTTTTTATCTTTGAGTAGTAAACTCATCTAACAGTCAACCATTATCAAGGTAAAACTACACTATCAATCATAAGTATGTAGCATAGGAATTCAATTGGGTCAATCTCATGGCAAAAAAGACATGTAAGCACCAAATTTATTATCAAGCAAAACATGGGTACAAAAAATGTGGGAGTTTTAATGAAACAAGATTTAGATATAATGAAATTTCAATGGCTTGTTGTGGGGAATAGTTTTAAGCCTTTAAAATCCCATTAGCTTGAACCCCACTGTGATCATACACTAAAGTACGGTGGCGTCCAAAAGGGAAGAAGATAGAGCAAAATAGTCGCCAACAAGTTTTTAAGGAACTTGTAAACCATCACGAGGTGAAGGTTACACCCCTTAACGATCCAAGAGATCGTCAACTCCATAAGGTCATGAACCAAATAAGGGTTCGGGGATGAAGGTACAAATCCAACCTAAAAGAGATTGAACCTGCCCTAATAATAGGCCTCTACTTTATTCTGCTCGTATTCATGTGCGCTTTCTGACTAACATATAATCAATAGGATTAACCCTAAACCTGTTAAATCTATGTTGGTTGAATATTAATGCACAAATAAACTATCATTGACGATCACTTGAAATTATAATCACAATTAACCCTAAACAAGATTATTAATATCTTATTAAGCGTGATTGCAAATACAAATTCCCTTTAACATGCAATAAAAGGTGATCAAGCAATAAAGAATAAATAAGCATCAAGCAACATAATCAATAATAATTATGAAGAATAATAATAATCATATCATAATAATAATCATAATCATCATAAATAAAATAATCATCATCAAAATAATAATAAATTATAACAATTATAATCATAATCATGTTCATGTTAATATTAAAGCATAATAAAAATAGCAAGATCCTAGGCATGATACTAACAAGATTAATAACAAACCCTAGAATGTCACTAAACAATAAAAATCAAATCTTTAGCCCTAACATGATACTAACATGAATTAATATTAGGAAGAACATAGGAAGCATCGTACTTTTAATCATACTTAATATTAAAATTACCTTAGACATGATACTAGGAATATCATAATAACAATATAAACATGATTTCTACATCATAAATCAATAAAATCAATTAAAGTACTTACTTGGATGCCTCGTACCTCTTTCTAATAACAAAATACACACGTTAGTAACTTCAAGGAAAATAATAAACCAAACAATTAAATTAAATAATTGAAATAGAGATTTGGGACCAAACCCTCAGAAATTAAAACCTTTCACGTCTAGGGCGAAGGCAACTTCGAATATGGCTAGGTGTTTCTAGATCTTGTGAATGCGGAATTATTTATTAAAGAAAAAGGTTAGTTTAGAAAGGATGAATATTGATGACAGTTGATGAATGAAGAGATGTATGAAAAGGATTATTGAAAGAGATGAATGCTAATTGATGAATAATTTGTGAATGAAGAGAGTTGATGAAAACTTAAGAATAAAGAGAATCGGTGAACGATAGATGTAGATAGTTGGTAATTGGTGAATTGGTTAACCAAAACGGAGTTTTTGATACGATATTTATAGAGAAAATCATCCAAAAAAGATAATTTATCAAAACAGAGTCTGAAGACCACAAAAACACCTTGGCGCCAGGACCAGTGGCTAGCGTCAGGCGCCAATGCTGGCGTCTGGCGCCAATCCTGATTCCAGGCGCCAAGGCCTGGGGTTGGACGCCAAATTGGATTTCAACGCGTTTTCGAAAATCTGATAAATTTCCCGTACTGGAAGATAAAATAATATAATTTCAGTCGAAAATGCTATTTGATCTAATTAAAACTCTGAAGAGTCCTAATTGAATTAAGAATGATAAAACCTTCTAGAATGTTCTAGAAAACCAAAACCATTCCTAATTGCATTAGGAATGATAAATCATATTAGGCCCTCCCCTAGATCATTGGGTCGTACTTAAAGCTCGCACCGGGCCCAATTTAGTAAATTGGCCATAACTTCCTCAATATTCATCGGAATTGGGCTTATAATATATCGTTGGAAAAGTCTTTGCAAGCCCCATCCAACTACACCACTATTGGACCCATATCATGGACCAACCAAACTGGATTGGCTGTTTTCTTAAAATAAAGTTTTCAAAAACAGAGAGAAGAGAAAAGAAAAGAAATAAAACTTTCCGCAACACTAGACCTTTCCACACTTTCGTTTCATTCGATTATGACTCGACGTGAAAGGTACTCATCACTTGGTTTGGTTTTGGGGAGACACAAATGGGTGTCTACAGAAGCCCCCACTTTGACTGAGTTTGGAGAAACGCAAGTTTCGAAAACGAAAGCCAAAGTATTGATAGGGAGGGAGAATGATTCAGAATGTTCTGCGATCCTAAATCAATCTTATAACGCCGATACCTGCAAAACTAGCGTTAGTTAAACAGATAAAAGAGTTAAGAAACGCGTATCTTGCACCGTCAAGCACACGTCTCTGAAAGTAACCAATTGCTGCTACTGCTGCTGTTGTTTTGACGACCTCCTGAAAGCTAGAGAATGTCATCCCGCCTGAAAACCGCTACGCCTTGTAACTGCTTCCAATTAGAAGATTGCTTCGCCTGAAACTATCCTCTCCGCTGTGATAATATTACACGTCCAAGGGAATATCATCGAAAATTATTTCTCTTGAAATAATTCTCATCCGCATTATGATCATCTTCCATGCCCCAGGAATTATGATCGAAGACAATTTCGCCCTGAAATTACCTTCAGTTGTTTGTGACAACTTTCCGCAAGCTAGGGAATGATGCCGAAGACATCTTCTCTTGAAGTCATCCTCATTTGATGCGATAATCTCCCAAAGGAAAATACCGAAGATCCACGCCTGTCGATCTTTAAAAGTTCGCTTGAACTTGCCTTTGCTATGCCTGTATGTTGGCGCTCTTTTGCTCTTAAACCTGTATGTCGGTGCTTTTTTGCACTTGAACCTATATGTCGGTGCTTTTTGCTCTTGAGCCTATATGTCGGTGCTTTTTGCTAATGAGCCAATGCTTAGGCGCTTTAAGCTAAGTGAGACGATCTTTTCATCAGGTCGATCACTTTACATAATCAAGCCGATTACCTAATCATGTCAAATTGCTTACAGGGGCTAACTGGCGTACCAAGGAACCTAAAATATATTGCAGAAAGGTAGCACAACCATAAAAGGTGGCTGGCTGCTTTGGCGTCGCTGAAAAACAATCAGCGCCAGTCTTACGGCATTAGCGCCATGCGCTGAAATTGGCGTCTGGCGCCAAGCACAGAATGTGACGCCAATGCCTAGGGACTGGCGCCAGCACGGGAATCACTTTAAATTCCCGTTTTCAATTCATTTCGTGCTCTGGTTTGTTGCGAACGCTGCTCGAAAGAAGTCGAAACTTCAATTGATCGTTGCTCATTCGTTTCTCAACCGAATTCGCTCAAATTTGTTGCAAATCAAAGCTCTTCTCATCCATATTCTTGATCTATGTAAGTTTTCCTCCAACTCACACCGGTTTTTATGAACTCTTGGCATGTTCATTCACGAATTTCATGAAAATTTGAAACTTATAATGCTCAATTTGCTTCATTTATCAAGTTTTATGCCATGAAATTGCTTGTTTATGTTTTTATATTGCCTTGGGAGTAATTTGAGACTTGTTCGACTCAATTTGGTGAAGAAATGAGCAATCCACCATTGTTGGACCTCTTAAGGTCGTGAAGAACAATGTGGCCCGTTCTTGATGTTTTTGCTAGCAATTCTCGTTCAATTTGTCACAATAATCGTTATAGTGTTGCAAGAAATTGTTTAATTGCTTGAAAAAATGATGTCATGCTCGATTTGAATTTGTGCTCTGTTTTAGTATTATGTACTCTGTTTTTGCGAACATAGTATCACGCGGCTAGGCAAACCTTTAGATACCATAGAACCTTAATTTATGATGATTCTGCACAATGTAGCATGGCTAGACAAAGAGGCTCAGGTTCACGGTCCCGAAACACTAGACGGGAGCATGAGCTCGTGGAGGACGACACTACACCGTCCACTTCGCTTGGTCAGTTCCTAGAGTGGGATGAGCAGACCTTGTTCTTTGCCCCTGTCCACCACATTTCTGAGAGGGTGAGACAGGGAACCGAGCCTGGGAGGACACGACATCACGGCTCTGGCTGTGATG